AGTGGTTTAGGATCTTAGTGAAGACATTTGATTATCCATAGATTGTTTCTCAGATCTTCATTCGATCATCACTAGAGTGGTTCTAAGATCTTCATTGAAGACATTCGATCATCACCAGAGTGGTTTAGGATCTCACTGAAGACACCCGATCATCACTACAGTGGCTTCACGATCGGTCTCGCCAAGAAACCCACCACCTCACCATAGGCCCCCACACCGCTGGCCAGCCACTCGCATGAGTTTCTCCGTATACGGCGGGGAGTCCCCGCCAAACAGCGCGTCCTCCCTCCACGGCCTCAACTACATGCAGCGCCATTCGCCGGTGGTCATCGAGCAGAACGTCAGCTACACGCGAGGTGAGTATATCCTGCCGTCGCCGCCAAAACAACACGTGGCGGCGCCCCCGGAAGTCCAGGCCGCCGCCGAGTCGGACGAGGACTCCCGGTTCCTCCGCCTTGCACACGAGGCGCTCGTGGCCACGTCCGCGGAGTCCAGCCTCATCGTGGACCCGACCATCCAGGATCTCCTAGCGCGTCTCCAGTACGTGCTGTCGCCGCACGGGAACCCCATCAAACACTCGGAGAGCATCCAGCTGAACGAGAGCGGGCAGCTCATGATCCAAAGCTTCTACGAGCAGTTCCCGGACCTCAGCAACAATTTCTTCATGGACGGGCCGGACACCTCCGTGTCCAGTGGCAAGAGCGCCGACTGGGTCTTCCCGGTCGAAACCGCGGCCACGAGCCTGGGCTCGGAGTTAAGCGATGCGGCGGGCCAGCGGCTGGCCCGGCCCGCTCGCAAATTCCCATGCCGGGGCTGTGACATGCTGTTCCGCCGGTCCTCGGACCTCAAGCGCCATGCCAAGCAACACTTGACGGTGCCGGCGAACATCTGCACGCAGTGTGGCAAGGGCTTTGCCAGGCGGGATGCACTCAAGCGGCACACGGGCACATTGACGTGCAAGCGCAACGCGGAGAAGAGGCTTTACTACACGAATCTTGGTCCGGGCGAAAGGTGATGGGCGGGGCTGCGGCCAACGGCCCGGGCTTCGGCTGTCTGGGCCGGATAGCGATGGCGGGGGTCGATGATGGTGTGACACTGCCTCTTGCTTCCTTCTATTGCTGGTGTGATATCACCGGCCGTTCCTTCATTCTGTTGCTGACGCAATACTGCTGCCCGCTTTTCCAGCCTGTTGATGAAATGGCGCTACTGCCCGCTTATTAGTCTGTCAATGGTGTGGCTTTGCTTTCTACGGCTGGAAGGCATTTGGGGTGTGTCACTATCGGCGATTGCTAAAAACCATTTCTGACCACGATTCCAATTT